ATTTAATAAAATAAAAATTAAATCGAATTAAAAATATCTCCTATGATATTTTTAATTTAGGGAATTAAAAATATGTGTTTAGCAAAAAAATATACAAATATAAGAAGCAAATATTTTAAATTAACTAAATAAAAAATATCACTTTGGCATAAAAATTAAATCTAATTTTTAATTAAGCGAATTAAAAATATATGTTTAACAAGAAATACAAATATAAGAAACAGATATTTTAAATATACTAAATTAAAAATATCAGTTTGGCCTAAAAATTAAATCTAATTTTAAAATATCTGATTTGATATTATTAATTCGCAGAATAAAAATTCGTATGTGATATTTTTTATCTAATAAAAAATATCACTCTGCGATTAAGAAATAATAGTACATTCTGTAACAAGTTTGGAATACAGCATATTCCGCTCGAGGAAAAATTTGACACACGAGCCGAAGGCGAGTGTGACGGTTTTACGAGAGTGGAATATGCTATTCCAAACGTGTTTCAGACATTATTTTCTCTACGACTACGTAAGAATAGTAACGCTTATATAATTTTAAACAGAGAAAAGAAACCAAGCAGTTTTTGACATTTAAGTTTTTTGTATTGTCAAACCATTTTGTGCCGTCACAATTTTATAATGTAAATTATAATAAATTTAAACAAATGGTATACCTAAATCTTTATTATAATTAAAAATAGTTATTTACACTAACTAATAAAAAAAATAACATTGTAACAAATACAAAACTAATTTTACAAGTAATCTACATATGTCAACATCTATTCTTTTTTAACATTTTAAAGGTCTTTTTTTAAACTTTTTGAATCTGTCAAAACTTCAAAGCCGGTATAGTAGGTAACTGGTTTATCATTTTAATATCAAATTTATTATAATTTTGATTTTTATATTTGAAAAACAATAAATATAACTAATTTTTTGTGCCTAAACCTTAATTATACAACTGCTATTATTTTTTAATTAATAAATAATACAGTAATATTTAAATATTTTTAAATTTTTTACGTTTAGTAAACAGCCAGGAGATGTCGTTACTTGTGACCATTCTTAAACAAGAGTACTTAGGAATATTCTCGCACAGTATTGCAGAAAAACATCCTTTCTATGATCAAAAATTACACTAGAATGTTCTTAAGTAGTCGTAGAGAAAAATAATTCCTGAATAAAAAATAAAACGGCGCCCCATAGACTTGTCTGCTGCACATGTGATAATTAGTGTCCGACCGAAGCTTCGGCTTCGACCACCTACGGCTAAAAAAGCACATTCGGTCGCCCATTCGGCTTCGGCCAAAACCAGCCAAAGGATTTTTGCCGAAGCCTCCGAAACTGAACGAAATAATTTACGAATGACGCCGACTTCAGCGCAACCTTAGATCATACATGTATGATCTAAGAGCGCAACGCGTGGTTCCTGCTTCCCGCTTCCCGCCCGCATCGCGATTGTTTAGACTAAAGCCCTCAGCCACATCTACCGATTTATCGGTAGATCTACTGATTTTCGAATAGATCTACCGATTCTAATTCAAAATATCCAGATTTTCCAAGTTTTTAAATAGGCGTGCTTTTGAGACTGTGGATAGAAAACTATTAGTATGTAAGTTGGGGAAGCTAGGGATAAAGGAGACTGTGATAAATTGGGTGATAAGTTATCTAAAAAATAGAAAACAAAAAGTTAAATTTAAAAATATTATTTCTAGTGAATTAGTAAATGATACTGGTGTCCCACAGGGGACCACCCTTGGCCCTGACCTTTTTAATATATATATTAATGACATAGTTTTTTATATAGTTTTTTCTAAGATTGTAATGTTCGCTGACGATACAATGTTATTTATAAAGGGAACGGATTTAAATACGATGGCAAATAAAATTAATTCAGATTTATCAAACCTTTATGTGTGGCTATGTAATAATAGCCTGAGTCTCAATATTCAAAAATCAAAGTTTATGATTATAGGTAAAAAAGTAAACTTTTAAATCTAAATATAAATGTTCCAATAGCAATCAATAACGTTCAATTAGAAAGGGTTTCTGAATTTAAGTATTTAGGTGTAAAAATAGATGAAAATCTTTCATTTAAAAATCATTTTGAATATGTCCACAAAAAAATGTCTCAAAAAGTTTATTTTTTCCAACGAGTCTGTAACAATCTAACAATGTCTACAAGAATCCTACTTTACAAATCAATTGTTAGCCCACATGTCGAATTCTGCTCATCACTATTTTTACACCTAAATAAAGAAGAGATTACCAAACTACAAAAAATACAAAATAAAGCAATGCGCTCCATACTTAAATGTAATAAATACACATCAATTAAAAACATGCTTCAAGCCTTATGTTTATTGAGTGTTGAACAAATTGTATTGTTTGGGACATTTAATCTTATATATAAAATAAAACATAATATGGCACCAAGTATTTATGCAATAAGGTATTCTTTATACGACAAATACATGAGCATAATACAAGAAATGTAAACGATTTTTTCATAAATATTGCGGGGTCAAAAAAAACCAAAAATTCATTTTTTTTTAAAGGGTTAACTTTATTTAATAATTTGCCTAACACAGTAAAAAACTGTCAAAATTTTAACACGTTTAAAACATTGTTAAAAAAACATATTTTAGAAAATAACGTTGGCCTATTTTGAAAGAATAATGGATGTGTGTATGTGTATATGTAGATGGATAAAATATATAAATAAGTGTATACCTAAATGATTTTTTTTTTTTTGTATTTTGATATATTTTATGTACCTGAATTTTATCATATATTATTTAAGTTTTTAATATAATTATTGACTGTTTTATAATAGCTTTAGCTAAATAAACGTATTATTTATTATTTATTTATTTATTTATGTATATTTTTGAAATAAAATAATTCGATTTGGTTAAAAATGTTATTTAGTTTGCTTAAAACGTCTCCATTTTTTTAAATTTCTGCAATATTTAGCGACATCTAGTGTTGCACTTAAAGGTCATAAAATAGATACAGTATAGAGTATCATATAGAATTATAGAAAGTCAAATGCATCCTTTTATGATGATCACAGGTGACAAAATATAATTTCCTTGGTAGCTAATTAATTTAATATTAAATATTTTTTAGTTTTTCATTATTTGTTTTTCAGTTTTAAAATATTTGTTTTTTAGTTTGTAAATCTTTGTAAAAAAAGTTTGTACAAAAATTAAACGAAAGCAAAAGTTTAACTTGTTTTATTAATCAGTATAAAAATATGGCGCAAAAGGACATCTACCGATTTTAGACCGATTTATTTCTTGATATATACCGACGTCAGTCAGTAAGAGGGTGGCAGCACTGAGCCCGCTGCACAATAGCCCGGGAATAGGAACGGGAATCTTAATATTAAAGGTGGGAGAGACTAAAAAACTTCATAAAGTATATAGCGCGTTACTGTAACGCCCTCTATTATCTGTTACATTTATCAACAAAAGTGCGGAGCAATTACACCTACTGAAAAATATAAATTATTCAATCAAAATTTGTATTCTTTTAAAAAATATACTAATAAATAAGCTATACTTTTTTCTTATATTTTAACCTTTTTTCCATTTTTAAATTTGTACCCTTTTGCTTCTAATCCCTTTATTTATAAATATATTTATAATTAAAGGGATTAGAAGCAAAAGGGTACAAATTTGAAAATGGAATAGAAAAAGTCAAAAAATAAAGAACGAATTATGATAATTATCAAATTATGCATACAGTTGGGTTGTATACTCAAATTAATTAATTAAATATTTATAATCTGGAATTATTAAATTATAATTTAATATTTAATTAATTAATTTGAGTATACAACCCAACTGTATGGATAATCATAATCAAAAATTAAAGAACGAATTATGACTTGTGGCTTATGACTTGGGTTGTACCGTATATGATACAACCCAAGTGCCTATAGGCACTCGTTCGTTCTTTAATTTTTGACTTTTTTTTATTCTTATTTCAAATATTGGCAATCTGTAATTCTGCTTTATTATTGTAATTTTATACTTTGGAGTCTCTGGAATACTCGAAAAATATAGGTGGTAGATCTACTAACTTTTCAAAGTAAGATTTGTTGGAAACTAGCAACTTTTAAAATTATATCTACCTCCTAGACCGATTTTCGGTTGGCAACACTGCAAGAGCTGAACCTTCGGCTTCGGCCAAAAACTGACATTTGGTTGGACACTAGTGATAAAAATAAAAAAAAAAATAAAAATGAAAGGAAAGCATCTACAATACATAGGTATTATCACCAGCAAAACTGACATTGAGCATTATACCAAAACAAGTTTAATAACTCTATTTTGATTAATTTATTTTCTAATATTAACTGGTTTACTTTTTCACACAATTACCAATAAATCCATTTTTAGAAAACCATGTGATAATTATAACTATTATTATTCATAATTTATAAATATAAGCAATAACATTTATAAATGTAAAATAAACAAAATTTTAGCATTATCATATAAAAAAATGTAATTTACCAACACCATAGGTAGGTTTCTAAAACATATCTTATATCTTTAATCAACATTTAAAGAAATATTAGAAATTTGAGTAGGTACGTTTGTTATTTAGTTTATTTACGCAGAGTGAATCCCTAGATAAAAATAAATTCAGCAGCCATTAAAGTAATCAAGTTGTTATAGCAGCTTTAAGTTGGTTATACTTGATGTGTTGCAACAATATTTATTTTTATTGCATTTACTTGTGGACATTTCACTAAAAACAAACATGAATTATTAATTAATATTAAGTGTTTCTGTTGATGGGGACCAGCAGATTGAAACACAATGCAAGTTATTCTAAAAATAAATTGTTCATAATTTCAGGAATTGTCCAAGTGCAATAAAAATAGATGCAAATTATAAATATCCAAGCAAGAAAACTATATTGTGTAGTCATTAAACATATGAAATAAACATTCAACTAAGATGAAGTATTTAAAAAAATCCTTACCTTTGTGAACACAATTAAAACATATGGAAAAATATCACCTTAATGAGTTCAAGATTGTACATAATATTGAAGTTAACACAATTATAAACCTAATTATTTATATTTAACTATCTAACAATAACCTTCCAACATTCAAAGACAAGAACGACTATTTTGACATTAAATACGCCATATTAATTTGTTTTTATACCTTGTTGCCAGACCATTTTGCATTCCTCTTAAAGAAGTTAATTTTTACTTTTTTTAAATTCAATTAAATAAATTCGAACGTTTTATTTTTCAGTGTATGTTTTTTAATAAAAACACAAAATTAATTGCATTTATTTAATGTTACACACTACAAATCCCAGTACCAATGACAAACATATAAACATGACAACGTTTTTTAGCGTTTAAATTAAAAGGTAGAAATCTGTAATCTCCTACGCGCTCCAGTAGGAGCGGTCTTATAAGATCGTGATTAGTATATAAAGACATCTTTTTTGCACAACGAGTCGTCCCCATTATTGCCTATAGATGTCTCTGGGTTTCTAAAATTTTCATATACTTACCACATACTAAGTACCTAGGTATATGTAAAATTTTATACGCTCGTTTTCTGTAATTTTTACCCAATACACATCATAGATAATAAATCAAATCTAAAGCAGGGTACAGACCAAGTTCGCGAGCTGTTCGCGAATAGTTTGCGAACACTTTTCCGAGCCTAGTGTGTATGCGAGTTTGCGAACAGTTCTAGAACAGCTCGGCTGTTCGTTCAAGTTCCGGGTCGAGTCGGTAACTTCAAAGGGTTTGTTCGCAAACACGTGGCGAGCTTGGTATGTGTGTGGACGTTCCTTGTATCATGTGGACGTTGACAGTTTTGCACACAGAGTAGAACCTCTGTGGTTTGACATTTATTTATTTAGTTTATGATGGACAGTATGGATTTTTATTATTTAACAACGTAAATATTATAATTAACCTTAATAAAAAGCTGTTTTAAACATAGACTGGTAAGAGGAAGATATTGTTTGGTTAATCGAAGAATTTTGTTTTATTAAAAAATAGGCCGCACAAGCAATTATTAGATCGCTTTCTTAATCGCTTTTCAGCGATGACATTATTTTTATTTGAATGTTTAAATTTGAATTATGGAACCCTCGACGAACTCGGACAAAGTTGCTCACCGAAACTGTTCACATGCAAACTTTTCTAGTGTGGACGACACGTTCGCGAGCTGCTCGGGTTCAATTTGGAAGCTGTTCACGAGCAGCTCGCAAACTCTTTGTTTTTGGTCTGTACCCTGCTTAAATATGTGCCCCAATACAATGGCATTGTTTTTTGTGTTGCTACACAAGCAGTGTTGCCAATTGGCGGATAATTGTCCGTTCGTGAACTTCTTCATAGATGGTGGATATTTTTTGGACCATAAAAAGTTGCTGATAATTTCGGATATTTTAATCGGACATTATCCGGAGTTTTGGCATATCTACATTTACAACACGAAATATTAAATGTCATAAAAAATCGCCTTTACAACATGGCAATAGGTAATAATTATTAGTTTCTGTGCAGTTTGTGGCATGAATTTGTAAACCTTTTGTTTCAGTTGACCCCAACAAAAATATCGAGTGGCGTCAAATCTGGGGATCTCGGCGGCCACTCAATCAAAGGACTGTTTCGCCCTATCCAGTAATTTAGTGTTTATTTAGCCATTATCTCACTATAACAGCGTTATGAATAGGAGAACCATCTAATTAAAACTTTAAATTTAGGAGATTATGAGGCCTATTCCCTTTCGCTAAACATGCATGTTCATGAACTACATATGTTTCGTAACATTATGTTACTAACATATGAGCCAATTGACCATATGCAAGGAATGCGGTTGATGTTGCCAATGGTAAAAAAATAAAATTCCCTATTGGGAACATTCAATTATATTACGTTGGCTACATTGAAAATTTGAATTTCCCGCACGAACTAAATTAATTTCCATCTTTTTTTTTTATAATAATAAATAATAATAAATCCCACATTTGAAATTCGCACCTTAATTTATTATACAATATTGGAACTACCTTCTTTATCTCTGGGAACTCCTAGAATGTATGTCAGTTTGTGCGGGAAATTCAAAATTTCAGTGTAGCCAACGTAGTATAATTGAATGTTCCCAATAGGGAATTTTATTTTTTTACCATTGGCAACATCGACCGCATTCCTTGCATATGGTCAATTCCCTTTCAATTATTTCGTCTATAGACGCATGCGCTCGAAGAATTTCTTAAACATCCATGTTTATAAACATCCATGTTTATAAACATCATCGGTGTGTGAATAAATAAATATTCCGTTTCCAAAATTCGATGTTTGGTGAACATACATGATGTTTGAAAACGTATGTTTATTAACGCTTGCCTAAGAGGTGCTGTTAGCCAATATTTGAGGTTTTAGGTAGTTAGCGAAAAAAAGTTAGTTTTTAAGTGTGCCCCCCAGCCTCCTGCCCCCCCCAAATTATGATAATTCAAATTAAAGTCGTACAATATTTAATTCACTGAAGTTTATAGACAAATTTCAAATTTTATTAAAAAAATTCAAGTATTACAGATTTTATAACATTTCTATTTTTTTTAAATTTAGTAAAAGAAATAATAAAAAGGCTGGGGGGCACACTTAAAAACTAACTTTTTTTCGCAAACTTCAATTCAAATTCTGCTTGCGCAGACCTTATCTATATTGTTCTGATCGGTTCTCGTCGGAGCTGTATGATGGTTCGTTATCGTCTCCGGCGAGGGTCACAGTGTGCGGCAAACACCCTGGATTCGGAAGGTACCTCCTAGTTGTTGGATGTCCGTACTTTGGGACTGGAGCTGTCCCGTAGGCTGCTCCGACGCTGGTGGAGCAGATCGGGGTTCCTGGTATACCACGACTCATCGTGGTGACCGTGGCGGTGGGTCCGCCCGTCCCGATGAGTGGAACGTAGTTTTCTGTGGTCACGAACAGAGCTGTCCCTTCGTGGCTGGTGGTCAGGGTTGTAGCGGGCGTCGTGGTGACGGAGGGCTCTGTGGAGCCGGCTAGGGACATGGTGGAGAGTGGGCTGCGGCCTCGGCGTCCTCGATAATGGATAAATTCCCCAAGGCCGTGATGTCCTGCAGAAGTTCTTGTATGGCTTAAACTCGGGAGCTTGGCTACGCGTCCATGGCATCGCTGGGAACAATTCCCAGGACACGTCGAGGTGGTGGTGTTCGCCGGATATTTGTTGCCTTGAATACTTACTGCCTCTTGATATTCAAGCTGAAAGTTTGGCAAGGAATGCAAATAAAAGGCAGATCTGTTTTTTTATCTGCCACTTGACCCGTCGGTGACTACAGTTGTGTCGACGGCTTGTAGATTCTGGAAGGTCGGCTGGATCGCTTGGAAGGCTTCTGGTCGCTTGGGCTGTCGTCGCTCTGGAGTCTTCAGAAAGACTGGTTGATGTTCCTTGAAGGAACTTCCTTCCGGTGCATCGCTTTTTATAGCCGGCCGGAGGTCGTCGTAGGTATACAGTGCGTTGATTCGTTGCCGCTGTCAGCCAATGAATGCGCGCTCTTTTCGACAATATAATATCAATATAAACTAATATAAATTTGATGTGAATCCCATGTCTAATAACTGAGATATGACCAAAATCCACCAGCCGACACTGGTATACAGTATACTGTATACAGTACAAATTTGTTAGATATTAAAAACAGAGATGTCGCCACGAGTGTTTATTCTGTCATCAGATGATAGAATATTTCATTCTGTAACACTTTACGGAATATATGTCATTCCATAGATAAAACTGATATTAGTAATAATATTACATAGGTATTTGATATTTTATATTTGTTGTATTTTTTTAATAAATTATATTTTTCCAAGTTATTTTTTATTCTACCAATATATATATATATATATATATATATACAGGGTGAATCGGAAGGATCGCACTAAACTCTAGGACTGCATTCTACACATCAAAATAATAAAAAAAACTCAACTGTTCTTATCCGATTCTTATTTGTTTTTAGGTAATAGCGAAATTTAAAAAAAAAATTTAAAAATAAATTATTATCTAATGTTCTTTGAAAAACTATGGAAACAAAGTTTTTGTTTCCATAGTTATACATATTGTTTACATTTAAAAGGCCTAACTGTCAGCGTCAGTGGTATTTTTGTAATTTTCAAATTTAATTTTTTTTTAAATGCCAAAAGTTTATTCAAATTTAGAGTATACCAATATAAAATAATAATAATAATATGGTTTTTGTTTATGGCTTTTGTAATGGCAATGCCACAGCCAAGGGCGTCGCCAGCCGGTAAGGTAGGGGGGGGGCAGCAAGAACAAGAGAAAAATTAAAAAAAAAGTTTTCATAAAAAAAAATAAAAAACAAACAAAATAACTACACACTTTGTTGACGAAATCGTCCAAGTTTTTGAAAATGTGTTGCCTGTGTACACTTATCATTGCGAGGCCATTGAGTCGAGTTTCAAACATGGTGCTCCTCAACCAGGTTTTGATTCTCCTGAGGCTACTGAATGACCTTTCAACTGTACCAGCCGTACAAGGTAAAGCAACAAGGATCTTTAAAGCCTTCTTAATTTCAGGAAAAAAATCTTCAGTTTCCTTAAGGATTTCCACAACACTCAGTTTATCGTTTCAATTAGCAGGGTGACTTGTGAGCGTTAACCTCTAGGGGGGGGCAGCTGCCCCCCCTGCCCCTCTCTGGCGACGCCCTTGGCCACAGCTGCTGTAGAAGAATATCGGCGACGTTTTCCACGTGAAAGGGCTCCTGGCGAAAACGTGTTTATTCGAGTTTTTAACAAACTTTCCGAGACTGGAACTCTTCCAAGTGCTAAAATAACATCTGAAAAAGCTGATCGACAAACTTTAGAAGAAGTAGAAAATATTTTGGATCTAGTGGAAGAAGATGCAACGACCAGCACCAGAAGAATCGCTACTCAATTGGACATTTCACAAAAACGGGTAATACACACACTTCACGAGCGGAACTTTGTCGGTGGGTAACTAACAATCGTAGAGTTTTATCGCGTATACTTTTTACTGATGAAGCAACATTTCCCTGCTTAAAATACCCCATAGAGACCCTGTTCAAACCGATAGATATTTGTATCGGGATGTATGGTGTTTCTATAGGGTG